GCGGGGGAATTGCGTTTCTCCCGGGAAAAATTGATGGAAGAAGACAGTGAGAACCAGGAACGCCAGCAGTTGGTGCAGTAGCGATCGTAGCGATTCGAGAAAGAAATTTGGACTTGGCCATCTATCCCATGTACTCAGTGGATTTCCATTTAAAACTCTCAAGGAAATCAAACCTCGTTTTTATAAGCTCTGCCTTCGATTGGCAATTTGACAGATGGAATGGACGGTTTAAGTGGCCAGCAATGATTTTATTTGTAACCTTAAGCGGAAGTTCCTGTTGCTGTTGAAGTTTGGAGCATTGTTTTCAGAAGTGGAAAGCGGAGAAAAAAAAGTTAGCACCGCCTTGCACCGGAAAAATTACAGCTTTCACACAGTGCAGCAGAGCCAGTTGCTCATACCAGGTATGCCCTTGCTAGAACTAATTTTCAAATAAAAATTTAATGTTAGAACAAGAAAGCTAGTGGTGTTAATTTTTCATTGGCGGACTGGTTGCTGTAGAAAAAAGATTGGGCTGAATTAAGAAGGAATGAGTTACATTAATAGCTGAAATTTTCCGATTTTTTCGATAGCTGAAATATATTTTTCGATGGCTGAAATCTGTCGTCTTCGGGACTTCTGTGCAACTGAGTTCCGTTTGGATGTAAGCTTACAGCTTACTAAATAATCATTGGATCCATCACCTCCCTGGAGAGACAGTCCCATTGTTTTTTGCGTAGGAACTCCGTCTGACGGTCCACTTTACTCTCCATTGCCTAATTTGCCTTATCGCATGATCAGCTCATGCGCTGTCGCGAAAAACCCGCAAAAAATTGGGCAAAAGAAGTATACTCCCTGTGAAAAGCAGTCAGAAATAGATAAGTGTATTCTGCCTTGAAAGGCTAGATACACAGTAGACGTGCTGCCAGACTGATCCCGGAACACAAGGGCAGGTGATTTGGTGGGTAGCACGTCGCGTACGGATGTTAAGAACAATAATTCAGTTCCTTCCCGGTCCATAAATATTTTCGAAAAGGGATCCATTCACGACATGCACATTTCCATTGCTCGGCGGTTAAGAAACTGAAATAACTGTAATACTAGGTAGGGCTAAAAATTTTAAGAACATTGTTATTTTTATGCTGATATTCGGAACTTCATACATTTTTATAAGGCAGTAATTTTGATACGTTTTCAGAACAATCTCAATGACGATTTTACAGTTTTATCGCTTTCTCTTCCGACAGTATTCGGCCAAGTAAGTTAGAATGTCTTTTTTTTTTGCGTGGAATTATTATCACATTCAAAAAGGTGCCCATTGTCTCAAGCTTCCTTCACTCCCTTTGTGTGCTAAAAAAGGCCGAAAATTTAAAAATTTTCCCTTACGGCGGGAAAATTGACGAGGTCCAACTGTGATGACGGCAAGAAATGTATGTGACTTAATGGACCGAAACATTTCTTACCTAATTTAACACTTCTTTTTTACATCTCCC